CGGATTTTAACCCCTAGCCGACTCCTGGTTTTGCATTCCCTGGCGGAAAGTGGTTCAGTGGCGTCTGAAATTTTAGGAACAGTGAAGTGTTTCGAGCGATTCATTAGCTTGTTGAAGTCATGCATGTGATTATCAGGCCTTCTGAAACAACTTCCCGGAAATTTTCGGACAATATTATTGCTAAATTTCATTTATCTTCGGTGACTGACATTTTGACATATTTATCGTGGGGATGTTGACAGAATGCTACCAACTGCTGTCTGTTTATTGGTGTGTGCCTAAGTGTATTTTCATGCCTCATTTTCCTATTTTTTAACTTCTATAGTAATACTTGTTATCAATGCGTCACATTTGACAGAAGCCACTTCACAGGCTTTAGCAATTTGGCGCGCTAATTATTTGTATAGTTATTCATGGTACATACAGACACAGTAGTTTCTGCTCTAGTCACTTCTTGTGTACAAAGCTTTTGCACTTCATGTTGCATCATTTTTTCAGGTAACAGGGTTCATTTCTGGTTCGAAGTTGTGGGAACATCGCATGCCAATATGCCATGGAATTTTTCATGTACCAGTAACTAATACTTCGTACGGACAGTGAAGTGATCTTCTGGAAGAAGTGAAATTTTGTTTCTTTAGCTTGCTTCGTCCTCCTTTTGTCACATTGCGAGGTTCCTCTGAGATAAGTAAGTAAACACCTGTCCACCGATCGGAGTCAGGTTTATTTATTTTTTTGATCTAAGCTTCACTGCACACCGTATTTTGGTACAAGTATGGAATTTTTTACCATGTGATACCGGTAGCTCGATTCTGAGGGCCGATCACTGATATCAAGTGGGCATCGGCAGGGGATCAAACCCCGGGCTAAGTGCATGGTCGGCGAGAGTCCTAACCGCTGCGCCACCGACATGGTTGTTGGGTAGACCCCCACAACAGCTCCTCAAGTCGCCAATCTTTCGCCTGTTTCCTTCAGCATCAGGTTCTCATCTATGCGTAACTGTTTGAAACTCTAAGTCCTACATGAACGCTGCAGTCAATCTTCTGGTAGAAAAACAGAAGGTAATAATACACAAAGTATCACATGGTTATCCACCGGCAAAAGCATAACCGCAGTACGGGTGAAAATAATCCAAGAAAGGGAAAACATTTTGCTTCCAAAAAACAAGATATTCATTGCTTAAATCTACATGTTTCATCTTTCCAAGTGGGCTATGCGCAAATTCCCAACTTGTTCTTTATATTCGGCATACTTCGTCTTCATGTTGCAATCTGGGAAGCAGTATTGTTAGACTGCCTGAAAGACCCAGAGCTCACCTCCGGTTAGTCCCAACTAGAAATAAGGCCCATGATCACCTCGTAAGCATCAATCCCACCAAACATTCGCTTTGGTCACATAAACGGTTATTCCTAACACTGCCCAACTAGTGGAGGGAGAATAAAGCACTTACGGCGGTTCAAATGTGTGTTTATTAACGACATTGTGGAGATAGTATAAATATTCACAACCACACAAAAACGTAACTGCCAAGTTCTTCTTCACACTGTTTCAACTCATACAGACAAAAACTGACCTCTGAATGTTCGATTGATTCGACAAACTTCTTTGACCTTCTACAGCGTACACCCTGATCCAGCAGTACCTTCAAGGGAGATCACTGTTTTACAATGTCAGAATATTGCCGACGCCTCGTGGTCTGGGATGGCTTGGAATCATCCGCAGACAGCAATAGTCCCCAGAGTAGATAAGCACTGATTGCTGCTTTAGGCGACGTTGTCTCAACATCAAAACCATTCTGTGAGCACAAACTAATTGTGCAGTGCAGGTGGAAAAAACATAAAGCAGTCTCTGAGACCCGGTTTTTCCCACTGCTATTCCTATTTCGTGGGGGAGAATATCAACCATACATTCAGGGTAATGGTTCGTTAGGTAAAATAATACTCCTTGCCAAAGTCAAGCCTGGGGTTGCCAGACCTTGGAATTAAAATCAAAAGAAAGGTTAAACAAACGGATACTCCTGAGGAAATTGCTTCTAGGGGAGGCTGGTGTGTTTTTATGTAAAAATACGCAAGACGTACCACAAACGCCGGGGTCCCCGAATAAGCGACTACTGATTAAGTGATATGAGAAGACTAAGTGAGCAACCGAGTAAGGATCACATCTTCTTAATGATATAAAAGGGTTTTTCCTGTACCGAATTGTATTGGATGGATTCCCCAGTGTACTTCCCCGTTACACCTTCCCACCAGTGGGCTTAGGAAATATGTTGCCAAATGACTACCGTTTTCTCACAATTTATGGCTCACTGTTCAGCTGTTGTCAGTTACTAGACTACATCTTGTAGCCGACAAAATCAACAGGGGGTTGGTGAACCGGTCACCAGCAGTTAGGGTAGCTGAAAGTGCGGATGGTATGGTAATTCGACCACGTCATTAGGAACGGAATTAAACAAAGCGATTTTTAAGAGTTCAGCCGCTGGAAACTCAGTGAACGGGTAAAACTGGTGACACCAGTATCTGTACGTTCCCATAAGCAGCGTGTCAATCACGTCTCATAAACCGTTAATGCCCAGCTCTCGCTACGCTCGGGCCCACGCTGTTCCTTGAAGTTTTCAGAAACGCTTAGTTATAACGGACGAAAAAACCAAAACACCGATCTGCCGCTTGAGATTTCTTTATTGTTACACCAACATATAAAAAGAATAACTGAACTAAGGTCTGTGAACAAATATTACAATAATAAATCATTGTATTACTTCTGACGATGTTTCACTCTTCTTTCTGAACAGCGACCGATGAGACGATGACTGTCGTATTGATGCCTCCGCGAAAATTGGGGAAGTTGATTTTGAGCAAACAACCAATTGATCGTTCAATCTTCAACTCCATTGACACAGCGATAACGGACAGGTGGGTGACCAGTTTTCCATCAGGTATTCAGCAGAGGTTCCCAATGGCAAGCTCGCTATCGCGACTACACTGACTAACAAGTGTGTAAAAAACCAGCTGAGGATGTTAGAAGAAGACAATGAAGAGGGAGGAAATATAGACAAGTGGAGCTCTCTTGTGGCACGTGATCTAAAACCACTGACAAGATAAAAAAATCGTAGTAAATTAGCTGTGGGTCTAACAAGACTCGGTGTCACAAACCACTGATTGGGTAACCAAGTGCAGTAATAGTTCCAGGATACGACATGTCTAACAAATTTTCGACAGTTTCTCATCTTATAAGTATGGGAAAGAGAAGTTCACACTCCCTACTAGGTGAACAGCAAGGGAAATCCTCTCTGCTGAATGAAATCTGCCCAACTGGCTCTTAATGAAGAATTCTTTTCAGGAGAAAACTCTACTGGGACAGATATTTTTTGAATAGTAGTTGGTGATTAATTACCTGAAACTTCACTGCTGCCATCTATTTTATCGAAATGACAGTTGGACTATCACATAAACTCGAAATGTTAAGTAGGGAGTATTTGTTTTGTTTGGTGGGTGGGGCTCAAAATGTTTAATGGCGATATGCGAACACCGCGAATACCACACGAACACCACCAAATAGCCAATTACTCATTACCAGAGACACCGTAGCGGCCATGAGTTGGGCTCATTTTGCCTCAAAGATACAGAAAACAGTCACTGCACACCGAGTGCCTGTTGATGTGGAACAACTTTCCAAAGCACCATTCGAGGGGTCTGTCATAAGTAGAAAGGGAATATGTTGGTCCGCCTGGAAAGTGCGTAACTACTTTAGAGATTCGCGAACGGTACGAATGTATATTTACGCAAGTTCTTGTACATCAACTTCTAACTTATTAATTCTCGCGTACCAAAGGCAAAGTAAAAGACAATATTTGATCGTCCAAATTACGTGATATATTTCGGGACCAAAACGAGCCGTCAGACGAACGCTTAGCTGGCTAGTGATCGTGCACGCACGACGGGGTACCAAATGGCGGGGATGCTTGACCGAAAGCCTTCAGCTAAACAAGTCGACTTAAACAGTGGTGGTCAGCATTCAATGATGAGTGATCGCTGTGGTCAATAATTTTGGGGAATTGTTTACCGCTACACTACTTTAAACAACCAAACAACCAACAACTGACTGGTAGAACTAATGATTACGCCCGTTACTGAAGGACGTTGCAGAGGCTGAGGATGAACCGAAGATAAGAAATGAAGCGATATAGAAGACTGAATAAATCAGGTAATCGTTGAGATTTAGTAGTTCTCGACTCTTCTGGAAATGGTCCAAATCCTTGTCCTTATAGTAAGTATCGCAAGATGGCTAGTAAATTCTTGGAATTTGGGGGAGTTCATAGGAACATACTTACGGAAGTGTGTGCAAGCCGAAACCTAGAGAAGAGCCCACTGTTTCTACTCCCGTGTCAGAAAACCCAGCTGCTTCAGAAAAAATTAAGTTGGTAACTGTCAAGAAAATTATTTAACTACCTGGGTATCTTTTGCCGCAGATAAGCCTGTGTTTTCTAGTATCGAGGCAAACTGTAGGGAAAGAATGATCGTGTGTCACATAAGTTTTGATTTCTGGTGTCCCAACAGAGCGCTATCAGCTTCAATATGGAACCTCGGTTGTATGACCACCTTTGTTGGTACTGGTATCTTTGAAAGTCAAGGAACCCGTGTTTTGGAGAAGTAATGACGACCGCGTCATGGGGGACTTCCAATAAGGGGGCTCGGTACATACTTAGACTATAGTGGTAAAAGTGGGTGTTCCGAAGTTCATTAAGTTTTTCCCACAAACGCCAGTTTCAGTACCGCAGAACACCTGGAACTTCCAGCTAACTGTTTCCTCTGGTTTTCTCACTAATATTGGCTGACTGTAACCTGTTTCTGAAATAGGTTGTAGATGTTTAGGTTTTTGACAATGACGCTTACCGAGATCATGGATAAAAACTGCAATTTTAGCCAAACTGCTTAGTACTATTTTAAGGGTCGGGAAGGTAGTGAATGTATATCCATTAGATGAAAACCTAGTTTCCTATAAAAAACAGAATAAATATTTTAGGCTTATCAAAGAAACAGTCGCCAGAAGTAGTCAGCGAAACCGTTTACATTGAACCTCGGGTGGGTTAGTGGAGTTATACTGCATCAAACGCCACCGTCTCCACTAAACGCGGTAAAAAGTGAATCATGCCAAAGCGTGGTAAGTATCAGTTTGCGACCTCGTTTTTGTTTCATATTTGGTCCACATTTACGTCACACTACAATTAAAGTTGTTATTTTGTTTAGGAAGGGGTGGATCTTCAGGTGGAAAGTACCGGATTTCTCTGGCTTTGCCCGTCGGGGCAGTAATGAATTGTGCTGATAACAGTGGCGCCAAGAACCTGTATGTGATTGCCACATTTGGTGTTCGTGGTCGCCTCAACCGTCTTCCCTCCGCAGCCACTGGTGATCTTATTGTCTGTTCTGTTAAGAAGGGAAAGCCAGAACTGCGTAAAAAAGTATTGTATGCCGTAGTTGTCAGACAGCGGAAAGCTTACAGACGGAAAAACGGAGTCTTCATTTACTTCGAAGATAATGCCGGCGTTATTGTGAATAACAAAGGAGAATTGAAAGGTAGGAAAGCGTATAAATTGTCTTTAGATTTCAACTTGTAATGCCATTAAATGTTATTGGCCATAGAATTAGGATGTGAACTGTTGTAACGTCTATAGACAGGTGTATTTCAGTATAAGCAACATTCGTGGATGTGTTAATGCTCATACTGCATCGCGTTTGTTGTGACTAACAATTCGACGCTAAAGTATGCTCAGTAGACCACCACTAAGCATGACAGAAAAGTACTCTCAGTGGATGGTTACTCACCACTATCTTCATATTGTTCTCAGTCACGAACAATGTGTCGTAAAATATTTAGGTACTCGACTATTAAGTTACAGGGATTTTCAGAGTGCTGGAAGTTTCACTCGACATGGTTGAATCGTAGTTTATGTCACGTAATTCTCTTTAAGGGTCACATTAACTTTAGGTTATGAGTAGATATCGCACTCCTGATAGCTGACAAGTTTGCAACTGTCTGACCTAGACTTGATGGCATTCCAAGCTACGTTATGTCTAGTTGATCCGGGCTTGACTTGATTGCAATCGCTTGTACTCCTTTGGAGTTGCTGTCCCTTCTATCGTAACCCAGGAATGTGCTCTATGGTGAACAGTTGTAACACTAGTGTCCGCTGCGAATAAGAGTGGTTTTTTCATCATGACCTGTTTAACATAAATGTGTGATGGATTCGATTTCCCCACGCCTGTTGTGATGTGAAACATACATTTATGTAAATGGGCAGCGCCATTTTGTTTGATATTTCCGTAAACTTCAGTTGAGTGGTGTATATGTATTTGTCTAAGGGATATTTGTATGCTGTTAGCATGAGTGGTATTTTTACCTACTTATCCCAAATAAATTTCTTATACACCAGGCCACTAACTACATATTGTAAGAGCCAGGAATACTGTTGAGTTGACTAGTCCAGCCTAGGGCGATTGTATGGAAGTCGATTGTGTAAACCAGAAAGTCAAGTCGGTAAAATTAAATCCTGGTGTGATAGGTTTGCACTGAATAGTGAGTAATGTTGTTGTTAAGTTCCGTGCAATAGTTCAAGATTCAGTAATTAAAGTAAAATCCCGAACCACATCTTGCAGGCCGAGGTCCTGCAGCTCATACAGTCAGTTTAAATGTCATGACGCAGGATTGTTCACATAAACTCTTCAGATGGTTGTTAGCATTCTTCAAACGTACCAGCCCCCGTGCGTTTGATAGTGCTGCGAGTAGAAACCGACTTGGTTTAATTTGTTGGTTAGTTCTGTAGGCAACTTACGATAGGTGCGATTTTTGGTTGCTGACACGGTCAGTTGTGTTAATGTAATTAATAACAAATGAAAATTTTCATTTCAGGATCTGCAATTACTGGACCTGTAGCCAAGGAATGTGCGGATATGTGGCCAAAGATCGCATCTACTGCCAGCTCTATCCATTAATCAATAAAATAACTTCTGGCATCGTATCAGTTGTTTTTTCACTTGCTTTAACTGTGCAATGCTCTAAGCTTTAGTTAACCGTGGAGTTTTATGTAAGCGTGTGGATGCATGATTCTTATTAATAAGTGACAGTAAATTCAGAAGTCGAACGTCATGGAGTGACCACTTTTGTATGTACACTGAGATGCTATTTGGAATAATTTCACAGAAAGTTGACTAAAAGGCATGATAGCGAAGTGATAAGTTGGTAAGGTTATCAGTGGGAATATTTATTTACATATCATTCGACTTGCATATTTGGATTATAGTGAAGTTGCTGACGACTGGCAAAATGAAATGTACATCGGTTTATTAAGAAGCTGTTTGGTTAAGTCATTATATAAGTTTCGTCTGATAGAAGTAACAGGCCATGATGTGGCAGGTGAGTCGGTCTATAGACTGCTATGTTGAATAAGTTGACAATGCATTGTGAAGAGGTGAGGAGCATTGAAGGGATGTGTCCTTACTAGCTTCTTTTTGTAGAGGACAAAGTTTTTAATAAGTGACAGGAGATTTAAACAAATGGAGAATAGTTATTTTCCTCAGGCCTAGCAACGAATTGTAAGTGAAAACTTCCCAGTATGTCTCAGTCACGTTTTTACGCAAAGGTTTGCAGATTCGATGCAGTTTTCTGATTCAGTCTTCAACAAGGTGGCGTATAGACTGATGCACATCAGTAACTGTTCTCTTTTTGTGGTATAAGCAGGCATTTGTGAGCTTAATGCCCGTTTCTGTGTGCAAAGCTAAAATGATAGGAAGCGTCCATCCATTAAATCAAAGTAGCAGCTTCCTAGGCTGTCTATAGTATATGTATGTCTCCTTAATTCCAAAAGTTTTGCGTCATCTGCGTAGAGAACCGCGAGGACCTGTTAATTTATGTAGTGAGTCAATATACAGAGGGTCAAAAGCAGTACCTTGAGGCATCCTGCCTGTTGTCGTCTCCCAGGAAGAGAATTTGAAGTTGATCCATACTCTTTGCCTTGGGTGCAACAAGGCACTTATTGCTGAAGATTAAAACGTAAGGTTGTTGCTTTGATGTTGTTTGGAACAGATGCCAGCGAAGCTTCACTGTGTGCAGTTTCGGCATACTCCCATAAAACTTAATTTTAGAAAATAAAAACAGCGAAGAATTATTATTGTTCCTTTGGGTTCCTAGTGGAACATAGCGCTTCAACTGCACGTCTCCACTTGCTTCTGTCTTCCTTCTGCTGTACTTTTCACCTGCATCCATCCATGTTAGTTCATACTGACTGTTTCAACTCCTCTTCTCACGATCTCCTCCATTTCACCCTTGCACTGATGACCCACTCGCCGCTTCCCTTTCAGGTTCCACTATAGGGGCTGACGCGCGATGTCACCCAGTAGCCTCCTCAGCGAGTGTCCAATCCATCTCCACTTTCTCTTGCATATTTGTTGGACGATTGGTTCTTGTTTTGTTTGTTCCTATAGTTGGTGATTCTTTCCATCCCGGCCATCTGATCTTCAGTATAGAGCGAAGACAGTTGTTAATAAAGGTAACGTCTGCAACAGGCTGTTGGAAATATTTTTTGTAACCTGCCAAGTTTCTGATCCGTATAGAAGAACTGACTTGGTTGTCTACAATATGACTAGTGTTCAATAGATGACGAGCAATCACACTGTCTAATGCTTGCAATTGTAATTTATATTTAACCACAAAGTGGTATTGGTTAAGATGGGGTCATTTCACGGAAATAGAGTATAGTTTCATTTGTCAATATAGACATAAGTGAATAAACGAAGTTAGTTATAGGAGTAACAGTTCTAAATGTACGTCGATACAAATTAAGTGAATGCGGAAACACTTTGTGAAAGTTCAGGGGGTTACGATTGTCTAGTACACATAATAATTCAACCCAATTGAATGAAAGTTCATGCCGTAAGTTGTACTAGTCTTCACCACCACGTTTGAAGAATGAAGCACTGTGCGTCGGTGGCACAGTGGTTAGGACTCTCCTCGACCATGAACATGGTCCGGAGTTCGATCCTCTGCCGACGAACACCTGATATCTATGGTCGGCCTGCAAAATTTGGGCTACTGATATCGCATGCTGAAAATTCCATACCTGTACCAAAAATACGGTGTGGAATCAAGCTGTAATAAAAAAAAAACTATGCAACTTGGTCCTTGTTCGATCGACTTGAACTTTGTATAACAGGTGACAGTCTCAAACACAATGGTATGCATCAAAAGCGAAATACGCCGCTAATATGAGTAGGTATTATTATTCCTTCTGAGTGGACTTCAGCAGAACATCTGCAATCAATTCCAACCAGGCTCCACGACTGTCTAGAAGCTTTCATCTCATGTTCTTATAATTTCCTCAGTGTCACTCTTGAATGCTTAACCTGTCGATTTCCATTCAGGTCCCACTCGAATACGTGTTTAACATGTGGCGTCACTCAGATGACCCTTAGCGAAGGTTATATCTATCTATTGCTCTTGTGTACTTCACGAAACGAGTAGTTATTCACATGAAGATCATTGGAGAAGTTAGTCCTTTCAAGTCACCACATTTGGAAATAGCAGTGGAAAATAAGAGACGAATGTTTTTGTTTTCCCCATAGGCTACAGTAGTTCAGGTTTTACAAACTGACGTCTGTGCGTCACATATTAAGTGAAAGGATGGTGTACTAAGAAATGAAAGCAAAGTAGTCGAAAACCCTAAAATATCATAAGACATAAAGAAAAGATAAGGTAAATTTAGATATCTTATGCCTGCAAAACTTCGTACAAAAGTACATATCCGTTTAAGTCGCCACCCCTCATAAAAACATCCGAACATGACGAAAAGGAATGCAATGAAACTATCATAGATGATAGTACTTGGGAAATAGGAGAACTGGAAGGAGATTAGAAAGAACTTTCAGAATATAAATAATAATGAAGTTTGAATATGCTTACACCGCTGACAGTCCGAAACCATTGATTCTTACCACCACAAGGATTCCAGTCAGGTAACTCTATACCTCCTGGTCTAAACCAATAATCAAAGACCCCATATAAGTATAAAACTTGAGCACTGTGGTGGTAGAGTATAACTCCATTATAGATAAGATTTAGATAAGTCACACAAGGTTATACAGTAAATATTAACTGATGACCACGTTTCGAGCACAAACTATTACTGCTCATAATCATATCAAGTCACTCAAACAACTTTTTGCTTCATTTATATACATGAGTAAAATTGATTAGATATAGACTAGGGTCAATAAATGTGTCGTTACCAGTAGGGTGCAGCTGGTCGGGTGTGAGGACAAATACTCGCCGAAGACATTGGCTAGCGGTCGCGCTATGTCGTGAATTGGCAGAAGTTGGAATTCAAGGACCATTGGATCGGGTCCCAGTGGCCTAATGGTATACGAGCTCGCCTTGTAACCGGAAGGTCCTGGGTTCGAATCCCGGTGTGTGCGTACTGCTGAAGAGTCCCAAACTAGGACGAAACGGCTGTCCAATACTCCCAGGTTTTCCAATGGTTCTCTAACTAATGTCAGCTCATGATGAAATCCTGAAATGTGTAAAACTTGGACACTGTGGGAGTAAGTAATTCCATATTAGTTTGATTATTAGATATATCACACAGTGAGTGAAACAGTATTCATATTCACTGGATATTGTCGTTTCGAAAAAAATTTATTTATTGTTCATAATCAATTCATCACACAACTTCGAAACTTGAGTTTTGTAGTTTTCTTTGTTCTCCTATTTGTCGTCACTTTAGTAGTAGAATTTTCCAGATATCCTGCTAGACGGGTGTTGAATCATTCCTGTTACACGTGTTTACAGTTGATTCGATAAACAAAGTTTCCGTTGTTATCAATCTCTCCCCCTATTCACCCTGTTACATTAGATTTTAAAACTGTCATCTTATCCCATCCTATTGTATGGCTTTGTTGTGTGTAATTGCATGTAGTGAGTGGTATAGCTGAACTATTCTCTAGATTTCTTATCTTGTCAGAGTCAACTAATCTAAATTTTGCTAGGTTTTTATGCTCGGCTAGTCTGACTGACTGCACCTGTTCTACTACTTTGACCTTACAATCATTCCAGCATGGTATTAGATAAACTAAATTGTTTTGTTTAATTAGCCCCACAAGATCCTTTAACCTACAAAGCTTGTTTCTTATTGAGTTTGTGGGTAGTTTGAATACCAACCATTTTTATTCTTGCCTGCCTTGTTAAGAATTCTGCGTAAGGTTTCCGACGTTCCTTCCTTCTATGGAATTACTACTGATGATTTAGATTCCTTGTTGTTGGTGATGTCAGTATCCTGTATGCATGTCGTCCTTATTATTATTATCACTATCATTAATTATTTTATAGATAAGCACATGAATCTGGAAATTTTCCATGAAACTGTAATCGAAAAAACTCATATATTATTATATAGTCATTTCAGAATTTTCGATTCCTCAGGAGAAAATCCCAACAGTGTTTCACTTCAGCGTATATACTTTGGAAATAAGTGATTACTCGAACCTATTAGTTTGCTGTTTATTACCATCCAAAAGAGAAATAACAAAGGACGCTCGTATTTGCTATAGGCTTATAAACTAGTTCCTGTTTACTCTTCCATTCCTTTACGTTCAAATTGAAACAGAAGGCTTCAAGAGCTTTGATGTTTCACTAGCGACGGTTGTCAATAGTCTCCTACTCAAACTTCCCTCTCTCCAGGATTTCTGTTGGTTTGGGAACTTGGTAAGATTTAGGAGTCCGTCGGCCAGGAGTCAAAGCTGAAGGACCACGTGCGTGTTCTGCAAATACTCTACCGCTGAACCATCGACGCACTTCACTGAATATTACGCAAATGTAAATAGAAGAAATTGTAAATGTACGAGGAACATGTGAATAAAACTCTCTTTATATAAAAAGATATTTAAACTTCTATCCATTTGTATTAATCTTAGCTATCCTGCAATAATGATCCATCTGGGGAGAGAACACTAATGATTGCAACATAGAATAATACTGGATGCAGTTGTGGACTTGTGCGTCAGTGGCACAGCAGTAGAATGCTTACCAACCACACATGCGGTTCGGGGTTCAATCCCCGGCCAACGCACTCCTTTACCTCGCTAAGTCAGAGTAATAAGACTGATAGAGAAGGAAGGTTGGGCGTGAGACTAGCAACCCCACCCCGGAAAAATAAACATAACTGCCAATAAAACTTCAAGCCTCTAGCCTGAAGCCCTGTGTTCCATGGGGAAAGTATGGGAATAAAATAAAATTGTGGACTTGCAAAGAACCGTGATGTGTTCGATTCCCCTGGAAAACATCATTATAATAAACCAAGTCAATAGGTAAATTATTACGTGAATAGTGTACATCGATAGTTCACTAGTAGAATACTCGGCGATCACGCACATAATGCGGGTTC